TTCTGTTAGTTAATACGAATGTAAAAACATGGAAAATATAAAATAAACAAACATGAAATATAAAATGCAAGAAATGCAATGCATGATGTGTGCAATTGGAGGCATTGATCCATAAAAGTGTTCATTATTATAAATAACCCTTGTTCAAAAATGTCTTATCTTTTAGAGACATAAAACAAATTAAAGTGCTTGCCTCTTGAACCCATCTACAATAGCTTCTAACTCAGCTATTGTCTTGCCATCTTTCTCATGCTGTTTTTCTAAGTCAGCTACCCGAACTCTCAAGCGATGGTTCTGATATTGACTATCTGCCAAGCGTCTTTGGGCAGTCTTCATCTGTTCCTTCCAAGCTTTCTCATCAGGCCCCTCAAACTTCCTTTTCAGGCTATGAGCTTCATCTTTCCAGTATTCAGAGGTTACCTTTAATTTGGCGTTATCCTTGACCTTATCTTGATACCCCTTTCTCAAGTCTTCAAACTCAAAACAGAATCTTTTCTATTCTCTTTCCAGTTTATTTGCCCGGTCTTTCTGAGAGCCAGCATCTAGCTTCCATTGATAGCGCTCGGCTTCAAGTTCCTTTATCCTTTGCTTCAGCTCACTATTCACGGCTTCAAACTCGGTCTTGGCTATCTCGAGTTCAGAAGGGACATGCCTGAGATGTTCTTCCATGGTCCGGGTGTCATCACAGTCTGGCACGGAATGTTTTTCTCATCTTCGCCACTCCACATAATCCGGAGTGAGTGAGCATGCTTCTGGCAGCTACAACATCCATCCGGAATACTTTCCTCCACGAATCGGCTGCTTCTTTGATCATCTTCTTATAGCTGTCGCCGTGATACTCAAACTCTGACCTAGCCAACCCGCATGTTGCTGGGACAAACTGGCGTTCTCCATACTGTCTAAGTGCTAATAACGGAGCATACCCGACTGCTCCCCAAAGTCCAAGTAAGGTCACAGTGTCAGAGTCACCACATCGGAAAAGAACGCCACTGAGAAATAGCCAGGGGGCTCTCCAGACAATATCCCGGTCCTGAAGATGCGTAAAGACCTTCATCCATTTTTCCTTCGAGGCACCTTCATGCCATTTTAAGGTGATAAATTCACCTAGAGGTGAATAGGTGGTGCTGAAACGGCGGTAGGCAACCCCGTTAGTCTTCCAGAAGTGGCTGTGCATCCAGACCTGAAGGAGCTGAATGCACCCGGTGAATCTTCCTCCGCCAGTTCTTCGGCAATGGTTGAGAGATCGAAAGGTCTCGGCCAAGATGGCTGGTGCTGGATTAACTCGTTTAGAAAGTTGCTCAAATAGTTCCACCACGGCAGCGTCAATGCACCCCAAAGCTTTCGGAAAGATGATCAAACCGTACAGACTCCGTGCAAAAAGGTCTATAGTCTTCCACTCATCAGGGTGGTTTTTCATTAGTTGCTTTATGTGGATCCATTCAATTCCTTCTCCACTGCCTCTACGCTGAGTCCGATCGATTACCCATTTCTCATCTACTCCTGCAACTTTGGCCAGCGCATTCTTGAAGGGCTGGCTTTTGATGTGTTTAATGTAGGCTCGCTCAAGCTTGATGCTTTCACAATGCAGCAGTGTAGTGTATTCTTCGATGGTAGGCACCATGTCCTCTTGGTTAAAAGTGAAACAACTATATCCCGGGTTCCAGAATTGAACCATGGCTCTGATTAAGGGCTCCTCAGTCTTAACATGAAGCAAGAGTGCAATGTCACTGTACCGTTGCTGAACTTCTGTCTCCGATCATTCTTCCAACTGTCCCAGATGTCTCGAAGCTCTTGTACATTGTTCTGTTTTAGGCTGATAAGGGTGTAGCAAACCAACTCTGACACATAGCTTTCTTGAAGACTGTCTCCCTTTTCACTTTGAGCCTTCTCGGACCATAGTCGTGCCTCAGCGTTTTCAATCTCTTGTATTACAACACCTTTGTCCATGGATTTAGATTATTTGAATTTTAATAAATACCTTTTTAGGGATCAATGGCCTCTTGTTATGATGCAAATGCTAAAAACAAACACAAAGGCAAAAAAGGTTAGTAAAATAGAAATAAATAAAAATAAATAAATAAAAAAATGGTAAAGGAAAAACATAAGGACAAAAAGGTTAGGAAAGAAATGTCATAGGTTTTGGAATGTGGTTTTGGGGTAGGCTCTATTTATTCAAAGTCTCCCGGTTTAGGTTCTAAAAACGATACCCAAGTTCTCCTTGCTGGCGCCCCCTTGGGCCGACCAGACCCTTAGTCCGAAACCCATCACAGGCTTGTGTGGACTAAGTTAAACTCGAGAGGACACATTCCCTTATGCCCATACAGAGAATAAATTCACACGAAGGCATAAGGTATATGAATCCCGAAGGCTACTTGCTAGGCCCATACGGTGAATAAATTCACACGAAGACGTCGCTTTCACCCCCACTTAAAACGGGTTCGGAGCTCGGGTTTAGAGCCTTAGATGAAAAATGTTTGAAAAGCTGAAATCATTAGAAAACGGTCAGTCCAACTATTTACTCGAAAAAATATAATCAAAAATAAGTAATAAGGATCGAAATATTACCTTAAAATTCAAACTTACCCTTTTCGTTAAAAAGACAACTGGAAATTACCTTAGCCTGACTCACTCACCTGTGTCCCCAGCGGAGTCGCCAAGCTGTCGCAACCGTCTTTCGGTTGGGCCCCGGAATTGGGCTTCGACTTAGGAAAATGGATTGGAGTCGCCACCGATCATTTATTTAAAAATAAATGGGTTGATCGGATACCCTATTTTTTACCTGATCTGCGTTTTTACCAGAAATGTGTCGGGTTCGGGAGTCGGTTATGGTCAAGGAAGGATTAGCACCCTTGAACCGCCCTTTCGGTACTATATAATTTCCAGTTGTCTTTAATTAAGAAAATTGTAATTTTAAATTGAAGGGTAAAATATCGATCCGAATTTCTTACCGTAAGTTGATTTGAAAGTTGTACCCTTTTAAAAGTGAATGCGTTAGAGTGAAGAAAACAAATAATATAAAGAAAATAAAATAAAGGGGAAAAAGAATAAAACAAGATAAAAAAAAAGCAAATACAATATATACATAAATAAACAAATAAATATGAGTGCATAAATCAAAGATAAAGGAAATAAAAAAAGAAAGAAAACTAAATAAATAATTAAATAAATAAATAAATAGATAAGATAAGATAAAGAAGAAAGGTAAAGAAATAATATTTACATATCACACTACTAGAAAAGGAACATATACGTATACATCAAAGTACTATCAAAACATATAAATTATATAAACATATACATAATAAATATAAGAAAAAGTAAACCTACCCCCATCACTTCAATATTAAAAAAAAGGAAACCTAACCCCCATCACCCCACCGAAAATTGGGGGGAACTTTAGTTGAAAACAAACAGAAAAAAAAGCTCTATATCATATAATACTTGATAATTAAAAATGAACAAAGAAAATATATATATGCATATAATTAAATATGAGGGAAACCAAATAAAAATAAAAATAAAATATATAGATACGTTAATAGTAATAAAGGGGAGGAAAGAAAAAGGAAAGAAAAAAATATTACATACGTAAAGAACAATGATAATGATATTAGTTAAATATATACATTTATATATATACATAATGACTTATAAAAATAATAAAGATAATCAAGTGGCAAGCAAAAAGTACATAGTAATAAAATATTAAAAGTATATATAGTTAATAATAAAATATGGTAGTAACATAGAATATAAACATATGTGTATTAACATACCGAATGGAATTGAAGAAAATAAATAATAAAAAATACATATAAATGCTAATAATCAATGTTTAAATTAAGAAATAAAAAATAATAATAATAATAATAATAAAGTATGTGGGGGACCGAATTGAATGAAAACAGAAGTGGGGATCGATTTTAAGAGAAATTAGGGGTTATAATGGAAGAATTAAATAAAGGAGGACCAAAACCGTGGTTTACCCTATTTTAAACCAAAAAAAAATGTTTAATATCTTCTTTCCTTCCTTGTTTCAGTTCGAGAGCCCCCCCCCCATTTCTGATTTCTCTCAAGTGTTTTTGAGTCTCAGGAACAAAGGTCGTGGGTCTCAACAAACCCAGAAAACGGCCGCCCCTTGTCGCCTCGCCGGCCACCGTTGAGCGGCGCCGGCCGCCGTTCATCGGCGGCAAACCTTAAAAAAAATTGATTTTTCCGAAGGTCTTTCTTCTCCCCTTTTCGAATATCAAAACTGTTTTTTCAAAAAATTAGGCCTCGGGGGTAGATCTAAAAGAAAGATCCCGACTTTTCCCCCCCTTGGATCCTCGGCCAAATCTCCTCTTATGAGGTTTTTTTTTAAACGAATGGAAAAGCACAGTGAGAAACAACGAAGGCCGAAGCCGATTACACCCAACAACCGAAATGAAACGAGGTAAAAATACCTTTTATTGATGCTCCTTTGCGATTTACAAATGCCTTTTTTTTGTGTACAACCCCCCTCCTTTTTTCTTTCAAACTGATTACAATAGCTTCGAGTACTTCTATATTTCTCTGGTATTTCCGTAGGACTTTCGTATCCCCCCATACAGTATGGATTACATTATATTTATAGTGTTAAAAGAAAATATATTTTTAGACTCCTAATCTCACTAGAAGTCTAATGCGTGTTGTTTATTGTTTGTTGATGACCGAGATCCTTGAGCCGGAAGACGCGGGCTGTTGTGGGTGAGAAACGTACGGCTGTGGGAATTTCGAATGGGTGAAAACGGCGCTGCCAGGAGGTGTGTAGCTAGGGTTCTGGAAACTTGTGGGCTGCTCACGTATGTTGGGTCACGTGGGACTTGGGTATGGTGTGTTGGACCACATGTGATTTTAGGCATGTAAAATGTGAAACATAAGTAAAAATAAATAAATAATAATATATGTTTATTACGCATAAATGGATGAAATGGAGGGTGTCTACATAAACTATCACTTTTTAATCGTGACAATTGATCCAGGATGTTGCATCTAGTGACTCTAGTGTTTATAGCATCATGGGAATCTTGTCAGTTGTTGGAGTTGTGGTATGTTATTTTTCTTGTTTCTGATACTTAGTTATTGCAAGAATACAATTTGTCTGGAACTTGTTATTGTTTCAGGCCATGGTGGTTACCTTCTCTCTGGGAATGGGTGCCATTCCTTGGGTTATAATGTCGGAGGTATCGATATTTTACGTTATTTAGCATAAAATTTGATCAAATATGAAATTCCTTGCTGGTTGGAATCCATTTTCAGTTCATTTGACAGCTTGTAATTGTTGTTCTGTTGCATATTTGCTAAATTTGCATTGCAATGCAGATTCTTACTATAAATGTGAAGGGTTTTGCTGGAAGCATAGCAACACTTTCCAACTGGTTCTTTGCTTGGGTGGTTACAATGACTGCCAACCTGCTTTTGGATTGGAGTAGTGGAGGTTCATCTCTCTCTCACTCATGCATGCACCCATGTCAATATTATTGTAGGTCAAATTATGATTTTAGTCCCTCTACTACACTCCGCATAAGAATTTAATCCTTGAACTTTAATTTGGTCCTCCTAATAATAGGAGGACCAAATTATACAATACAATTATAAAACCCTCAAGTTGAGTGTAGTACAAGAACAAAAACCATAATTTTGACCTATTGCCATATCTCAAATAGTTTACATGGGATACCCCTATAGGAGGGGGTAGTGTTATTTATAGTTCTGGCTTCCTAGCTAACTCAACATCCCTCTTCAACAGGAACCTTTACAATTTACATGGTGGTGAGCGCTTTCACCATTGTATTTGTGACACTATGGGTCCCCGAGACAAAGGGGAGAACACTTGAAGAAATCCAATGGTCTTTCAGATGAGGACATGTCTTCTCCATGCTCCATTTTTTGCTCAGAAGAAAAGCCCAGTTCCTGCAATTTTCCATTTTTTGTTTGCAGTTTAACTTCCTTTAGACATTGCAAAGGCATATTCTATATAGCTCTGGCCCCAATGCCATCCTCCAACAAATATCTGTATTATAGAACGTGCCTTATATCCCGGAACCTAAACACATAAAAAAAATGTGAAACTTTTGTTTTTATGATTTCATTGCTATCCATGTTTCTAATGAATGGTAGTTAGTTTTTAGACATATTCTTTATATTGTCTATATATTATTTGAGATTTTGCACTTTATAGATTTCATCACTAACATGCCTCAAGTAAATACAGATGTATATGCTTTTTTTTTGTTATGGAAAACCAAATTTTTATTCTATATCATTGTGTCTCGTACATTTAGGTAATATGCTCAGGGTTGTATTCATGGTGCTCAAACTCGAGACCTTAAGGAATTACAATAATTCCTTTGGTGGTCGCTTGGTTCGTGCTAAATAATACATATACACGGGGAGGGGAAGGAGAATTTTGCTCCTAATAGATATTGAACCCACAACTTAAGGAAGAGAAAAAGTGTTAAGTGAGAGTTTTTAACCATATGCTAGAGAGATTGTTGACGGTTTAATGATTTTATAATATTTTTTCAATTATCGAAGAAACGTTAATTATATTTAATTTTTTAGTGATAATTACATCACCGTTACGTTACATCAATTGTTGTTTTTTAGGGATATTCAAATAGTCGATTCAGTTAATAATTGAATCAAATTATTCAAAATTGAATTAATCAAACTTTTAATAAATATATCCGTTCATTGAATTGAATGAACTTTTGAAAAGAAATCATTAATCAAATAAAATTAAGTTTGATTAATTTGGTCGATCTTCAAATAATATGAAAATTTTAAAATTTTTAAGTTTTGATTCAAAATATGAATTCGAATAATAATAAATTAAAAATAAATTTATTTTGTTAGATATCTTTTATTTCTATTCTTTATTGTTTTCCTTTTGAGTTAGACTTATATTGAGATTAGAATATAAATTAAATATTAAGTTTTAAATATCATGGATCATCTAAGTTGAAAATTAAAAATATATTAGTTACGTATTAAAATTTCGGTTAGAAACTTAATTTGGAACTGAATTAATGGATGAACCGAAGTTTAATTTTTTAAATTATTTACTGAATTAAATCTTGGTTCGACCGGTTAATTTAAGCAAACAATGCATCCTATTTTCTTCTGTTCAACTCGTGGCGTAACAGCGATTTTGGCTAACAAAAGACTACAAAGTCAATAGCTGCTAACTTGAATTCTGATTCGATTCTGCATAAAGGTACTGCAATATTATATCTGGCCATTTCAAGTATATATATAAAGAAAAAGACATCAACTGAAGGATGCATGTTCATAAAAACAAGAAAAGAGTGCATTTAACGAAGTACAAATATGCAAAAGTGAAGGAAGGTACAACTTCGATCAGTAACGAAAACGAAATATGAGCTATAAATTTTTTCTGCATTTTGCTCCTATTCAAGGTCCAAACTCTTTGTTTCTGCTTCTTACTTCCCTACAGCCTTAGATTCCTCATCCTGCACGAAAACATAAAGGAATACTAATAAATGTATGTTGAAAGTATTCATATCTACGTATCCCGAATTATGCAGGATTTTATGTTAGGGGGATGAAAACACATTATCAAAAGAAAATACGAAGAAAATATCTAATTTATATGAGAATTTAAAATTTTCAGGACAACTGTGCCCGGTTGCTCCCCTTGGTCCATCCATGTGTTGGTTATTTGATAATTGTTGTATAGGGGAGGGATCACTACCTTTGTTCATTTTCCATGTAATTATATCCTTTGCTGCCTCCCCGTTTCTTACCATAAGGGGGTAAGGGCACATTGCCAGACTCGATCTGCTTGATGTCTTCCACAAGTTTCTCGTAATGCAACTTCACCTCCTCCACGGTTTTGCCTCCGACAGCCCTGGCTAGTTTCTGCCACAGGTCTGGTGTATCCTTGTCGTAGATAGCCAAAGCATTCTCGAACAGCTTGTTTTGCTTTGCCGTCCAGCTCGAACTTGAGGCCATTTCCACAATCTAGCTTCACTGATAACAAATACTGAAAAGGGTAAGAAAGAAAGAAACAGTATATTTAATTAGACGATTGTATGCCTAAAATAGACTATCAATGCTTACTTATATAGTAGGGAAGTGGAGTAAAAAGAGTTAAATTTGGTAATAGTCCCTCTATTTTGCTAAACTTTGATATTCAATCCCTCTATCTACTTTAACTTGACGTAATTTAATCAGTTATATTTAATTAATAATAAAGTTGCATTTCAGTCGAATGCATAAGACTTTTTTTTTCATTTGAATAACATTATAAAAATAAAAGATCAAATTATTAAAAATAAATTGAAGAGATTAAATCCCCAACGACAGTGTACTAGAGGGACTACAATCAAAATTAAACTATAGGGAAAAAAGAGAGGAGATTTTGTAAATGGTGGGCTGGTAGAGTCTTGTATAGGATACCTGGCTGTTACTTTCCTTGCAAAACAGCGGGTGTTTGTATAAACCCTACGTGGTTTTACTTTACTTGGAAGATAATTTCATGGCTTTGCCGGTGCAGATATTAGACTTAAACCTCAAGAAACTCGATTACTGGTCGGTTTTTATTTATCCAAGAACATTTTCATTCCGTTTTTAATATTTCTTCTTCTTCTCAATAACCGTTACGAAGTAGCCATGAATACCAGTTGGCTGTATGGGGTTTTGTTTATGGATACAATGGATGGATTCAACCTGGAAAACATTTACTCATGATTGCAACATGATGCCCACCAAATTCCAAAGTATCCACCCCCATGATAAATGTGCTCAGACTGATTAATTTTCTTCACAACGTTTCAGAGAAATGATAAAAAAATATTATTTTAAAATTATTGAATCAATAAACCATCAAATAGCATCAATGGTTATAGAGAGTGTTGTTTTCCCTATAGACACTAAGTTTTAGCAATTGCATCTATAAAATGTGTATATTGTCAATGATTAAGAAAGATTTTGAACAAATGATAGGAGACATCGAAGAATGGTAATTGCATAGTCGACGTGACACATGGATGAAACTATAAAACTTTCATCTTTGGAGGAAGTAGATAAAATAAAAAAGGGAAAATGACTTGGATGACAAGTGAATTCCATGTCAATAAAAAGCAATCCATATCAGGATACATATTTCATGTCACTTTTTCATTTATGATTTAACACTTGTGTGATCAACATAAGATGTTAAAAGTTCATAAAATAAATTATTTTTTTTAAACCTTTTGTAGGATCGAATCATTCATTTCTGAACAACTTCCCAGTGGGCCACCCATCCTTGGATTTTCCTGATCCAAGCACGCTTAACTACAGAGTTCTGAAGCGAATGGTCACCATTCCTTCTTAAAACCAATTGGTGATAAGTAGGTGGGTCATTTTAACCTCATATCTTTGTAGTGAGTGATCACTGAGTTCCCCCAAGCCAAGGTGGATTATTGTGGGGCACCCCCCACAGTTCATCACGACATTGCAGAGCCCCGCATCTATAGCGCGGGCGAGCCTAGGGGCTTCGCAAGGCACACGTGGGCCTCGACAGATTGGGCAGTCACGCACCAATATCGCGCCCATACACGATAGAATCTCTAAGGGTGATCGCTGGACCCCATAACCCAACAATCACCCCCCAGCGACACCTGGGGGATTCGAACCTGCAACCTGCTCTGATACTAATTGTAGGATCGAATCATTCATTTCTGAACAACTTCCCAGTGGCTCACCCATCCTTCGATTTCCCTGGTCCAAGCACGCTTAACTACAGAGTTATGAAGCGAATGGTCACCATTCCTTCTTAAAACCAATTGGTGATAAGTAAGTGAGCCATTTTAACCTCATATCTTTGTAGTGAGTGATCGCTGGATTCCCCCAAGCCAAGATGGATTCTTGTGGGGCACCCCCCCACAATTCACCACGGTATTGCGGAGCCCCGCATCTATAGCGTGCTGCGGGCGGGCCTAGGGGCTTCGCAAGGCACACGTGGGCCTCGGCGGGTTGGGCAGTCACGCACCAATATCGCGCCCATATACAATAGAATCTCTAAGGGTGATCGCTGGACCCCATAACCCAACACCTTTAGTGATCAAAATAAAAATAAAAAGAAAGTTGAATGATAAAATTTATAATTTAATTTAAAAGTATATATTGTAAGTACATCAAATATTCACTATATTCATCATTCAAATAATATTTATTTTGATGTAACTTGTATGAATTTGTATAGATGGTTGAGTATCATTAACTCTTTAATAAAAACCAAAGTACAAGTCTCACCAACAATTTTAATTAGATTTGTTGAAGAACTACATGTATTTTGAGATATTCATTTATTTTTTTTGTTTATATTTTTGTTGTATGATTGTCTTGTATGTAAGGTTGGCACCAGAGATAGACATGTAAATTTATATCAGGAGTGAGAATTTAAGGAGTTATATTAAAATTTTTAAAGTGTACAAAGTTATAAAATTTAAAAAAATACGAAATTAAATAATCAATAAATTTTTTTTGTAACAATCTATCTGGGACAGAGTTATATTCTAGGAAAACTCGTCATTTTATTCACTTGATTGTTTTGGTTTATTTAGACCAATTAAAAAAACAGTTAAATTATTGAAGGTGGAAACTGATTTCAAGTTGATCCTTGGAGTTTATGAATAATTACATAAGACTATGAAGTAAAACGTTACAAGTATTTAATAAAACAACTTTGATTTACTGAGTATACATATTTAAAAAAAATCATTCAAAATAAATTAATACAAAATCCATGAAATAATCCGAATTTATCATTACATGTGTATGATTGGTTTCTGGAAAAGATAAGCTCCTCGATGCAGGGTTTCATTCAAATCACATATCTGTTCCAACATATAGAAATGGTGTTTAAGTTAAACACGACAATCTGGGCATAAT